CCCCTCTGCTCTGGTGAGACCTCACCTAGAGTACTGCATCCAGCTCTGGAGCCTTCAGCACAAGAAGGACATGGAAGTGTTGGAGCAGGTCCAGAGGAGGGCCACAAAAGGGGGCTTGTAATAAAGATGAGGACAAACGTTTTAGCAGGTTCTATTGCAAAAGGACAAGGGGTGATGGTTTTAAACTAAAACAGGGTAGGTTTAGACTGGATATAAGGAGAAATTCTTTACAATGAGGGTGGTGAAACACTGGAACAGGTTGCCCAGAGAGGTGGCAGATGCCCCATCTTGGGAAACATTGAAGGCCAGGTTGGATGGGGCTCTGAGCAACCTGATCTAGTTAGCGATGTCCCTGCTCCTGCAGGGGGGTTGGGACTAGATGACCTCTAGGGGTCCCTTCCAACCCAAAACATTCTATGATTCTATGATTCTATGAAATACAGTTTAATTAACAACACAGACCTCATGCAAGTAAAGGAAAGTCCATTTTTAAATCAAGAGAATCTGTTTTCAGGCCAATTTGGAAACCACATAAGATAAACCGTTGCCTTAAACTGGGCAAGTCAAATTCTTCATTTTGTTTTAAAGAAAAAAAAAGTTGTATTGACTCAACTCTGAGCCCATACAGCATTGAGATTGTCCTGGTTCTGGCTGGGATAATTTTCTTCATAGTAGCTAGCATAGTGCTGTGTTTTAGATTTAGTACTAGAAGAATGTTGATAACACACTGATGGTTTTAGTTGTTGCAAAGTAGTGCTCAGACTACTTAAGGACTTTTTGAGCTTCTCCTGCTCGGCCAGGTGCATAACAAGCTGGGAGTACAGCACAGCTAGGACAGCTAACCCAAACTGTCCAAAGAGCTATTCCATACCATATAACGTCATGCTCGGGGGCGGGTTAGTCGGTTGATCGGTCACGGGGAGAGTGATTGCGGCTCCGGGACTGCTCGCGGCTCGGGATGGGCTGGGCATCAGTCGGTGGGTGGTGAGCAATTGCTTTGTGCATCATTCCTTTTGTATATTCTGTATATTCTGTTATCATTCTCATTATTAGTATTATTATTATTTTCTCTTATTAAACTGTCTTTATCTCAGCCCTCGGCTCTAACCTTTTATTTTCTTCCCGATTCTCTCCCCCATCCCACTGAGGGAGGGGGGGAGTGAGCGAGCGGCTGCGTGGTGCTTAGTTGCCAGCCGGGTTAAACCATGACAGAGATTAATCCATGATGCATTAACAAGCAAAAGATTATGATGTCACCACAAATGTTACAAAGTCACTATTTCCAAAAAAATAATAAAAGCAGAAAAACAGATTTACAGGAACCAGATGGGCCAAGTTAGGATTCTTTTCTTTTTTTCTTATTTTTCCTTTGAAGAATAGTAAGTAAAGCTATCCAATTTGCAATCACAGTGCTTGTTTTCTATATTGCTTATTAGTACAGCAAAGACTACATAAAATCGAATGACTACAGGTTTTAAAATAAAGTAACTTATTTGACTGAAATAATTCTGTGCATCTGTTTTTCGTTTTCAATTGTGTTCATATCAGTAGTGTGCTATTTTCATTTACTCATACCTCTGGGATTCAACTTTTTGCTTCTATCTTTACAGTCCTGGTATTACCATTCTACCATTATATGGTAAAAGGGATGGGGTGGAGGAGACAAACAAATAATAGGTGAAGCTGCAGCAAATGGCACAAGGATACAATCCCTTCCTGGAAAGAGGATTTTGTGGCGAACCATTTCTCCCATAATGCATCCCACAGACCATATATCCACTAGAACAGCAGAGACAGGGAAGTGAAGAAGGAGGGAAAAAAAGCAAAGTTAACTATGACATTTCACTCTTAAAGGAGGGGAAAAAGAGCAGGTTGATCAGAACAGTACAGTTTGTTTTGTAGTTTTGTGAGGTTTTTTTCATGTCTCACCAAAAGCTAAAATAAATAAGTAAATAAGTAAAAGCTGTGTCAGTCAGCTCAATGGTAGCTAGTAACAATGGTGGAAAAAGTTTAAAATCAACATTTTTGGGGAAAGGCCCATAGCTAGCAAGTAAAGATCAAGTAACAACCGCACAGACCTGTGATATACACTGAGTTTATGGTGAAAACACAACCTTTTATTTTTTTTTTTTTAAAGAAAAAAAATCAAAAGTAAAAAAAAAAAATCCCAAAGCTAGACAATGATCACCTGGAATAAATGCTATTTACAGCCAGGCAGTTTCTAGGCTTTGTCCTGCAAGACTTGAGTCTCTCTGCAGCAGTACACAAGAGGTTCCAAATGGAACTGCTCACACGAGTAAAGGCCGTATGGATAAATACCAGCCTTAAGGGTTATTTAAAACTCCTGCTTCAGGATTTATAACTATGTCCTATCTATAGGTTCCTATCTATATGTATCTGTCTGTACCTACATACCGACTGGGAAGAACTGGAGAGTGACATGTGTGGACTCTGCTTTTTACTGCATAGGTACTCAAAATAAATGCTAAAACAAATGCTTTGCAGGACAAGTACCAACAAGACTAAGAGCATTCCTTATCTTCCTGATCCCGCCTTCAGCTTTTAGATGCAATATGCACAGTTGTATTATCTGCTTGACTTGGGGGCGGGGGATGGGTGGGGGTAGATGGTTGCCCTTTCAGTCTTACAAGAATAAAGGCTAGATAGATAGTGACATGGTACACACAGAAAGAAAAGACTTTCCATGTGAAGGGAAAATAACTGCTTTCAAATGCTTTAAAAGGCTATGTTGTTTCTCAGCTTTGAATCCTCATGTCTGGTCATGTTTGACCTACACAACCAGTTTCTCCTCTTTTTCTTCCCCCCTTTTATCCTTCAAAAGCAATCTAAAACAAACCAAAGAAACAAACAAACAACTCATTTCTTGGTAAAACAAAATAAAGGTGAAATGTTCCATTTGGGAAAAGGAGGGTACAGGTATCAGGGGCATGGGACAGCAAGAGCATGCCTGAGGCAGTGGCAGAGTTTTTTTTCATAGTGACAGTTTTGGGACCTTCTACAAAATTGCAGCAAACTGGTTATAATTATGCATCTTTAGCCAACCAAGTGCAGAAAGGAAACGAAAGCAGTGAACAGTCCTTATACAGGCAGTGTACATAGTAAGAAGGGGAAAATAAAAAAAATAGGGGAGTTTCAGTAATGTGGCAGCGTAGGCCAGAGCAGGGAAGCAAAGAACAACCCTTTCTGTTGACTTCCTTGGGAGCTGGATCAGAGCCGCCAAGTAGACTGGCTCCTCAGACAGGTGACCTTCATTTTTAAATATTCTGTTTTCTTTCTCTGTTTACTTTATTTTTGCTTTGTAAAAGTAAGATGAGATCATTCATCTTGAGCCAGATTTATTACCCAGGGAAGTCAAAGGAAGTCTCTATGTTAACTTCAATGGGCATTTGACCAGGACCTTTAGATGTGGCAAACATTCTTAGTACCTTCCCAGCTGTGTACTTCATCGCAAAAGTGTGTCTAACTTTTTCTTGGTGTGACTTTAATCATGTGAAAAGCAAGTGCTTTCTCTGTCCTTTCAGGGACAATAACAACAACAATGGTAATCATCTACTAAACGTCTGGGGAGAAAAAAAAATAAGCGCAAAATAATTTATTTCACAATAAAGGAACTCTAAATAAGGAACTATCTAAAGCATGCTGAGCCTAGTTCAAATTTCTGATGGCACTTAAATATCAGTTACAAAGGAAGATTATTCCTTTTTCAGAAATTATTCTGTATGCTTAGTCTCTGCTTAATAATTCTCTACTTTTTAGACTTTCATATTAAAATGTGTACTGTAAACTCATAAACATTTCAAATAATTCATGCAGAGACTTGCTAATTTTGGAAGACGTGTGAGCATGCCTTTATTCTTGCTTAAGTCATGGAATCGGCTCCCAAAATCAGTTTCACCACCCTTTACAGGATGCAGCTGGCTGTTAGTAAAGGTTCTCCCACAGGTTAGCCAACTTCTTCAATGTAAGTTAAGTAGGAGACTTTTAAATAAATTCCTGGGTTTGATATTTGCTGTATTTGTCATCAAAAAGTCTCCTTCTCAAACAGACAAGTGGTAGCTTTTGACACCAGAATCTGAGTTGTGGCAGATTCTGCTCTGTTATATGTTATATCCCCTCCTTTCCTGCCTGGTCTACCTGGCACTCAGATGCAATTCTCAGTTTTGTTTCAAAATGAGAATCGCTTAGAAACTTTTCCCTTCTTTCCCTGCAGAATGTGAATTCTTCCTTACCCGCTTCTCTATAGCGAGCACCCCCTACCCTGCTATTCATGATCTTCCCAGGGACCAAGAGGTATCCAGATCCCTCACAGACTGTTCAGAGCAAAATCTATTTACGTCTAGGAAGGTTACATACAAATCAGATGCATGTTTTTTAGCTTCAGCTTTTTCCTGTTCTCTCCCACTCTACTTTCCATTTAAAAAAAGACTCAAACTGCAAAATGTATGCCTAGATTTTGACCACATGAAACCTGTCAGCAAAACCTGGGACTTTACTTAAAGCTATCATAAAGACAGAAACCATTCCTATAATTCAGATTTGGAAAAATTCTGGAAGCGCTAGGATTCCCTTTTTCAATTCCCTATTTTTTTCTTCCCTCAAACAATTCACAGACCCAGACTCCAATTTAGAACACATCACTCTTTCAGCAATTCCAGTCGTTTCCACAGTTTCAGAGTCACAGAACGCAAAGACATTCTGGTCAGAAGAGCTAATTGTATTTCTTAAGTTCAACCATAACTAAGAACAAGTTTCTCATTACTCTGCAATCCCACACTGACAAATTCACCAGCATTACATCCCAAATACATCCTGTAGCTGCAGTACACAGCAGTGAGAAACTCCTCTAAATGACCTGCCTTTTAGATTCAGGATGTCATTTCCCATTACGTTTTCTTTTTCTCCTGGTGCCCCTCACAATTGTAGAGGCAGACCTTACATTTCAGGTCGTGCTGTGCTTTGCTGTGAAATTGCAGTCCTACCGTTCTCCTTGTAGCCCATTCCCAAGATGACCTCTGGTGCTCTGTAGTAACGTGTCACCACATATGGAGTCATCATGAAGCTAGTGCCTGCAGTCCTGGCCAGTCCAAAATCCAAAATCTTCAATGTGCAGTCAGATTTTACCACAATATTACTTGGTTTTAAATCCTGCAGAAGATAGTGAAGAGACTTTTGTTTATGACTGTCCTTCAAAAAGCCAGGCACAGCTGTGATATGCACAGAAATTTTAGGTCACCCTTCAAATATTCTTTTACTTTTCTGACACTTACAGTTATTATCAGAAATACTTGTAAATACACAGCAAAACCTTGCTACTGTTTCTCTAGCAAACTCTTCTGGATGGTGTTTTAACTTGGCGTACTGTGGGGCTTTACCTGGATAGCAGGAGCCTAATGGTGTTATATTAATTGCATTTAGCAGTTCAAGAAACTAGGATTAGTATTAGAGTACATTTTGCGTATATATATATTTTTTTTAATGCTGTGAGCCTAACAGATTCATTCCAACTGTACGTGTGGAGATATCTTAATGCTTCATTTATAGTAATTCAACTCATCCTTTGCTGGGTGACTATCTGGAAGCCAAATTTATCATCCTTTGCTAAACATACAACATGCCAGGAAACAAGACCTTTGTATACTGTAAATCAACATTTACTTTGTAACCCATTTTATCAGCCCTTCTTTTCTTTCTATCATAATGGAGGGAAATATTTTTGGATTTGTTTTTTTCAGCTGGAAATCCCAAATTAGTAAAAGCACATTTCAGTAAAGAAGTTAGCCCAGGATATTTTCAATCCATTCAGAATTGCCTCCTGCTCAGTCATATGAGCTGTTCCCTCTGTTGTCTACAATCACACATAGCGCTACCTCTGGCATTCACAGCCAGGTACCACATCCTTACCAGACGCAGCACTCCAATGTGGAAAAGCAGGATGAGAGGATGCTTTTAATATAGACTTAGCAGTCTTTCCATTTGTTTTAGCCCACATAAATGATGAAAGATGCCAATTCCATATGCCCTGATCAAGCAATACTTGGACCACAATATGACATCAATTCAAACTATCTGAATGTCACGCATGGTAGATGTAGCCAGCTGCATCTTCAGGAGAAATAACATTTCTCTACATGTTTCAGAGATCATAATAATTTTGATGATTTCCAGTCCTTATTATTCAGTTGGGGTTTTTTTTTAATAATCACATTACCTTTTTGTCTGATTAAGTTCACAAATAATCTCATTCCTAACACAAGCATGAAGCTACTCTGCTAAGGGGATGGACTTTGACTTGTAAGTTTATAGTTATTTGCAGTACACAAGAAACTCAAGTGGTTTCTAAGACTTCATGATGATGTCATATGCTGCCTTAGGTTTTGAACCAAAGGCCTCTTACCCTGTGAATAATTCCCGCAGAGTGAAGATGCTTGATACCACAGAGCATTTGGTACAGTAGGTAAGACATTCGCTCATGGTCTAGCTCCATCTGAATGACCTGGCATAGATTGGCATCCATTAACTCCATTACTAGGTAACTGAATGAAAAAGCAAAATCTCAAGGTTATTGTCTGTGTTGAAGAGGAACCACAGCATCATCTCAAATAAGTAACAATGCCTTTTCTTGCTTCAGAATTCACTTTATTTCTGATTACTGGGAGTAACACAGCTGGAGACCGGGCCCACTCACAACAGTACCATTGTGGTGTTTGTTTCTCGCTGCACCATCTCACTGCAGAGACACCAGTCTTTTAGAGTCCCAGCAAAACAGGTGGATTGCTGGCCCTGTCTTGGTGCATTCCCCCTGACAAAGACTGCACCCTACATGGGCAAACAGGCAGCATGACACTGAAACATGCAGGAAACAGAAGAGCCACAAGCACCAAATGACATGACTGCTTGGCCCTTCATCATTATGAGGAATGGCTACCACAGTACATGTAGGAATCAGAGAGTAGCAGAGATGTCCAAAAGGCCAAAATATGGATCCTGATGCAAAAGGTCTCCTCCTTTCCTTAGGAAAAATCATGCTAAGATTGCATGACTTAACACAATTCTCATTACAACTAATTTCATTCAGGGCAGGTTCATAATATGCACAGTAGTGCTTGTGCAATAGGGCAATGTTCAGCAAAGACGCTAGTTGTCCTCTACACCTAGCACTAGTTCCCCAGGCAAGTCATTTTATGCAGTCAAAGGTTATATCAAAACAAATATGAAATGGGGAAACACTTCACATCAGTTTCTTTTACAGGAAATTATTTCAGAATGAAGCGCCACATTTCAAAACCTCACACGCATCAGGGAGTCACATAACAGTCATCATTTCCCAAGCAAACTAATAACACAAAAGCAGACCTTTTTAACTACTCATACCCCTTCCTCTGCGTGTGAAGGCAAACACAAACACACTGACCTTCTCAAGAAGAGCCTCCAGCAGGCTTTGCACACTGTTACAGTGCTTAGGAAACATGGTATTTGGCACCTTGTAAGTGTCAAAAGTGCTCTCAATATGGGAATGCAGAATATCTGTCTACCTACAGCATAGACTACACATGATCTTTTTTAAAGGGGCTTAAAACCTTTGTATTTTGCTGGGTTATTGCATTCAAGGTACCCTATAATGCCCCACATGTCTCTAAAGCTTTAGTTTATTAATGCCCGTGTTACTTACACATCCTGGAACTCCTCCAGAGATTTCTGTGGTGTGAAGACATTTAATAAACTGATAATCTGAAAAGCAAAGTGAGACAAAAAGATGAAGAGAAGTGATAAACATAAGCAGTTGAACCAATTTTTAAGTGTGTGTTAAAGGATAAACTCTGCTTTTTCTCTGCTCAATTTATACTGACACTTCTCACTTTATGGAACAGTAAAAAGTCAGCAACATTCAAAATAAAATACCACAGACCTCTAAGATTTCTTCTAGGTGCACTTGAAATGGTTTCTCAGAGAATGATTAGTGATGATCCGTCACAAACCAAAATGCTAAGGGTGAGAGTCCTCTGAATTTTGAGGTTACGGGTTCAAAGACCAACTTCAGCTCAATCTGGCACAGCAGTCCTTGTGCTACAGCCAGAAATTTCTTACATATGAAGAATGCTCGAACTTCCTTCTTTCTGACATGGCCCCAATTCCTTTGAGGACACACACTGACACAAATTCCATCATGAGAGGTACTGCCTTTTAGTAGAAGCATTTTAAAGCAGTAGACACATTCTGTGCAAGGACATGTTGCATGCTGCAACTCCTTTTTTACCTTTTTTTTTCTCAAATGGCTATTGTATTACATGGATAAGAATACGTGAAACAGCACAGAAGAAATACAGGACCTTAGAGATCTGAATTTCCTGTGCTTTCCTTCTGTGTGGGCAACAGAGGTAGAAGATACCAGCACGGCCACCATGAAGACAACATCTGAATGTCTCCCTCCCTGCCTCCATCACCTCTCTAGGCTTTCTAATAGGAATGGTTAGATATTCTTTCTGTCTACTCCACATATTTTGACTGATTCTTGCCTCCACACAGGTGCCTTTACAATCCTCTCCTGCCTTTGCACTTTCCTGTACAGATTAAAACTCTGACCCCACCAATGTGGTGTTGCTATGAGCTTTTATGCAGTATTTTTAAAATTATATATCTAAAATTAATACCGCTCCTGCTGCCCTCTGCTCTTTCCAGTCAATTAAAAACATGAAGTGAGAATGCATCATTCTTTCACCTGCAGGGAGAACTACTCACTCATACCTGCATTTTCAAAGCCCTGTACATTGGCCTGACTGAGGGCAGTTTCCATCCAAGTCAATAGGAAAGACACAGGTACAGTCCTGATCAACACAGTGGAAATGTAAGGATAAGTCAATGCCCAGAAGTGGGGCAGAGGACACTACAGGTGACCTGCTCTTTGCCATTTTAGGATCAGTCCTTTTTCTTTCCATGAGAATTTCTGATTGAGAACAAGTGTCAAATCTCACCTTACATCATAACTTTTCAAGCTCATTTATGCTTTGCATAAGGAGAGAGTCATTGCAGGATCTGAGGCAAAAGTAAACATGCAGCAAACTGAAAAAAATCACTGCTAATGAAAAGGAAGGGGAACAGAGGTATGGCACCAACCCACAACAGAAATTGAGGAATTGTAGGAAAGCTAAATCCTTCGGAGATCCCTCGACAATGCAATGGGGCAATCCTACATATTTCACTACAAAAAAAGCAAGTTTATACAGTGTCAGGCAGATAGTTCTAACTAGATGGTTACGATTAACATATAGTCCTGGAATAACTCTTTTGCTGCAGTGCAGGAATATTTTCATTTGTTATGGATACTAGATGTTATACAATAGGTAGCAGGTATAAGAAGCAGGAAAGTTTAGAAGCTGCTAGTGCTGTATATTCCAACATCAACACCATGATTAGAAGGAATGGCACAGTGTATTGAGGCTTCAGAGTTCCTGGCTCCACGACATTAGCTTGCACACAAATATGCAAGAATGGAAAAGTGCTTTTGGTTCTTAATTTTCTTTGACCGTTTTGCAGCAACCTTCACCATGACAGCCCCTCGTCTTGTACAATCTATACAACACATCTATATGACTAGGCCTCAGATGAAGTACAGAATAAGGATCAACACTTGTGCAATGAATACTCCACCTCAACAGACACTGATTTTGAGTGACAAATCCCAGTGACAAGAGGATGGAGCAAGGATTCCAACAACCACTTATGCATTTCTGCATAAGGACTTGACACAAACGTATTCTGCTCTCTCCCCTTCTATCACCCTAACACTACTAGTGGAACCCACATTTGGCATAGCCTTGAAATAAGCACGTGGAAGATCCTCACTCTCTCATGTGGGCATATAGCACCAGAAAGACTGTAGCCCTTGAGCATAATCTACTTTTCATTTTTTTCTGTTTCAAAGAGACATCCAACAAAGCAATTTTCCTTCTAACAAACCAATTTACATACCATTTCTCTGGTTACCTACTGAAAACTTACATTTTTATGATTCACGCACTTCATGAGGACCAGTTCCCTGTAAGCTCGCTTGGCATGAGTTTGGTTCTGGAATGGTCTGCTGAGCTTCTTAATGGCCACGTTTCTGTCAAGGACAGCATCATATGCAGCACTGCAGTAATTACAAACACAGGGGTTATATGCATCTTAGAGGATATCCTGCATTTCTCATGGCAAATTCCTGAGCCTCAAGTTTACTATTGCCTTTTTTTCCACTGAGAAAAATACTGTGACAAAAGGAGGAAAGAGTTTCTAGTGAGAAAAAAGACGACATCAAAAGGAAACATTTACCACCACGTCAGCAGAAGACAGCATGCACCACTACTTCTGAACTCCAGTTCCATAGGAAATTAACACTTATTTTCAAGGGGTGGGAAAAAAAAATTAAGTAGCTTCAAATAAAAATACAATAACACCTGGATGAGACAAGAAATTGTTTCATAAAGCAACTCTCTGTGCATTGGGTACAGCGGAGAGGCTTTTGCTTTTTCTGTCATGATTAAGGACACCTTCACCAAGTGGCTCAATGAACAATTGCCCACTTTATCTAGAATGAAGTTTCTATTTTCCTTATATTTCTCATAGAATCAAGTTATTTAATTATTCTTCAAGACCATGCAATCCAATTCCAAGAACATATGTAGAAACAGAACCATTTCACAACATTTCTTCACCATTTCCTTCTGATAATGAAAAAAATTTGTTACATATGCTTAGTTAAAAATTTTGAAAACATGAAATACAGGCAAAGTGGGCCTTTAAAGCTGGGCTTCTAAAATTGTCCTTAAACTTTTAAATGTTTTGTATAACCTCCAGTTATTTTGATAATCTTTACCTCCTATGTAGCTGAAACACTTATTTTGGTGGTTTAAATCTGACTACACAAATTTTCAATTCTACATTTCACAAGCCACATTAAGTCTCAGAAACATTATCAAATGGACAGCCCTCAGACCCTCTTCCTGATTTTCCCTTTTACCAAGAATGAGGAAAGCCGTGACACAAGTTTTTTTGCTACTCCATGAAGAGTAACAGTGCATGTCCTAGAAGATAAACCAAACAAACCACTAGTTGCTCTAAAAATAATGTTTTAAGCATTTAATATTCAAAATTCTGTATTTTTTTTATTAATTCCTGCTTATTGTAGACATTCACTGACATTTACTTACAGAGTCTTACTAACCAAGTACAGAGCAGAAAGCATGCAAGCATCAGAAGCTTAGTCACAAAGCCAACAAAAACGTACAAGTGCTCTAAATAAGTAAAAAAAGTGTTGGCAGTGTATGTCTTAGAAACCACACAGGTGGAGAAGAATAAGAAATACTTCAATTACACCACTCCTACATAAATAACACACCAAATACATCCCACAAATAAGAATAATTGCTTGCTAAAGGTGATGAGGAGTTTAGCGAAGAATGCTTTAGTCCACTGTTGACATTTGGGGCAGGATTTTCCCTGAAAATATGTTCAGAGGGAAAAAAAAAATTCTCATGACTGCCCTTGCAGGTATTCTGAAACTGTCAGGAAGTTCCATTTTAACACTTTCATAGTGAAACCATTTCAGATCAAAATGCTAATTTGCAGAAAAAAAAGTAAAAATAAATACCAGATCTCCCCAAATTATCAACAGTGTGAAATGTACTGCACCTGGGCAGGAATAACACCAGACTCCATTACACACTTGGAGGCCGACAGCCTGGAAAGGAGCTTTACAAAGAAGGACCTAGGGGTCCTGGTGGACAACAAGCTGAACATGAGCCAGCAGTGTGCCCTTGTGGCAAAGAAGGCCAACAGCATCCTGGGCTGCATTTAGGAAGACTGTTGCTAGCAGGTCAAGGGAAGTGATCCTTCTGCTCTGTTCAGTGCTATTGGGGCCACATCTGGAGTGCTGGGTCCAGCTCTGGGATCCCCAGTACAAGAAAGATAAGGACATAGTGGAGCAAATCTACTGGTGAGCCACAAAGATGATTAGGGACTGCAACATGTGTCATACAAGGAGAGGCTAAGCGAGCTGGGGTTGTTTAGCCTGGAGAAGAGAAGGCTCAGATAGGGATCTTACCACTGTTCTTAAGTATCTGTTGGGAGGAGTAAAGAAGACGGAGTCAGACTCTTCCAGTGGTCCTGAGCAACCTGCTCTAGCTGACTCCACCTGGAACGGGCAGGTAGGACCAGGCGCTCTCCAACATCATCCATTCTGTCATTTGGTAACAATTCTTTCTTCTCTTATTCATTAATAAGGCATATAACTTTTATGACCCAGTTAATACCATGCTAGTCATACGCATAAACAAAGATATTACACTCACTAGTTAAAGCATATATGAAGCAGCTTAGGCAATAAGGCTATCAAAGATCCAGTCAAACTTGACTTCATTCTGGCCAGAGAATTTCACTCAACTAAATCTTACGCTAGGAGGAACAAGCTGTGTGATTCATAGCCTTATAACATGTAGCAGAAAGCAAACCTCATGTAGCAACTGTCAGCCACAATAGGGCATCATAAAGGGCACAACTAAAATACCCCTTAATTCCATTAAACAAATAAAATGCAAAGCCAAAGGACTTAAAAATCATGATCTTTCAAGAGTTAAATATTTTGTCTCTATTGTTCATGGACATATATTGCAAACGTACTTCAGCCAACAAATCTCTCAGCTAATCCATATTACTTTATCACCCAACTTCTTTTAAGAAGAAAAGCCTACATTAGACTCATCTGAGATATGTAAGAGTACTAATGAATCATTTTAATAATCTTTTCTCATATTTTAATCTCATTAGTTACATCATAAAATCACTGACTAGCAGTTAGAAAACAGTAACACCAAAAATTCAACTGGGAAACCATTTTCTCCAGTTTCTGATCTCTGCTTTTCTGAATTTCCTCTCTGTGTCAAAGCAAGAGATAAAAAAGCATCAATCTAAAATCAGAAAACCAAAAGCTTTTGCCTTTTGTGATCCATTCCCAGCCCTTTACATACCATGGAGGAAAACTAAACAACTAAAGTAATCCTTTGTACAGGCACATTTACTTTGAGGTACAAGGGTCTTGACTGCAGTTCTATTATTGTCTTCTATCAAATGGAAGGTGTCCAACTACTTCAAGAAGTCAATATGTAAATTCATTGCACTGAGTAAATTAATAGCACTGATGTTTTTTTCTATTCACCAGAGAGAAGCTTTTGTTTACAGACAGCCAACTATGCATTTTACTACAATGAAATTACAGATACCACATGTAGGTCCTCTCTCTGGTGCTTGCTACACAAAATCCTTACCTTGGAACACCAAGGTTAGTACTGATGATATATCAGCCTTCTTAAGACAAACTTCAATCACTGGCAGAAGAGTGGCTGTATAAACAGGTGACTCAAGGGAGCAGGAATAAGAGACAGAGAGTAATGAGTGTCTGAACTGCTATGAAAAGGCTGACCGTGAAAGTAAATTTCAAGATCTCCAATAAGAGACTGTACTTGCATCTAAAAGCCTGTGGTTCTTTCTCTGGAAACTCTATGATAACACCTCTTGCTCAGCTATGAATTTATTTTTTAATTTATACAGTTGCCTTATTTTTATAACAAAGACTACAATTCACCTCTGCTCTTGTAATAAAATGACAGTTTTACTGCAACATGAGCTCAGAAAAAATCCTCCAAGTTTACTACAATATCTCTGGCAGCTGTACCGACAGCAGCTAGTTTGGCAAAGTAAATGTTAGCATTTAAAATGCCTTTTAAACTGTAAACAATTTGAATGAAACCTATTTAACAGAGATAAATTTTAGCCAGCTGCAAATATAAATTCATGGCTACCAACAGATAGATGTAATTACAGCTATTTAACAAGATTCTTTGCTGACTTCAGCATGAAAAAAAGGAAATAAATGAAACTTATTCTAGTCAGATTTACCCAAATCTAGATCATCATTTACCACTAATATTGTGTGCGAGTTCAGACTGTAATGATCAATGAGCAATGCTCTATTACCATAAACTTGAAGGACCAGGCATTCATTTTTATACCTATTTCAAAAAGCAAAGAAAAGCATTCTAGTTTCATGTCCAAATTTCTATTTCAATAGACACCAAGTAAATACTTAAAATTTTTCTTCTCATTCAAGAATAACTCTTTTAATCAACAATAAAACTTAACATTTATCTCTTCCATTATATTCTACCCCAAAATAGACTGAAAACCACAGAAAACATGTATTTTCTAAATCTACTCTTAGAGATAGGTTCCTAAGATAACAAATAGCAATTTTTGATAGTCTTTAGCCAAGATTCTTTGGATGGGGCACACACATCCTTTTCAAGACGCTTACTCTTTCTCAAGCTAGTACTTCATTAATGTACTATTATTAGCTCCCAGATGATGGAATGGAAGCCCAAAACAGGAAGGGAAGCTCCCAGCCTCCAGCCTCCCAGGGCAGGCTGCAAAATGCAGACTCTTGGCAATCTCAGCAAACAGCTTTCTATATTAAGAGAGTGTCTTCACTGAATGTTGTAGAAATCCAAAGGACACTAAACATTCCTCTTACCTATCACTACATATATATATTGTGACAAATATAGTATTAAAATCTTTCTGAATAACTACTTTCTAAAGTGACAAACTTCGGTCATCTTTGCCTTCCTCCAGAAAGACTCCAGCTGCAACTCTGTTTATTACGAATCACTGCTACTTATATCTGCATTACTTCTCAGTTTTGCCACTGACATTAGCATTTTCCCTTATTTTCTTCATCCCAGCACAGCAAGAGGGAAGAAAGCTGAAACTGATCTTGTTAAACAAAGCACTGACCTGTGTTATTTGAAATACCTTGGTTATTTAGTGCTGAGATATCCATCAGTGGAGAGAATTGGTAACCTTGAAAAAATCACATTTAACAAGAATACTAATGATAGCTCATCCTTAACAATCACCACCAATATATGGAGCAGAACACATTATATATACACACACAGATACACATCTAAATTTATATACATATATATACATAAAAAGAAAAGCATAAATGGATGTATATATAAATCCTTTTCACAGTAATTTCTCTGACTTCAAACTCCCTGCCCTTGTTTTCAGATAATCATCACTACTGTACTTTCT